TCCTCTTTTTTGCTGAGGAAGACTGGCCCTGGGCTAACATCCGTGCCCATCTTCCTCTACTTTATATGGGACGCCGCCACAGCATGGCTTAACAAGCGATGCGTCGGTGCACGCCCAAGATCCAAACCAGCGAACCCCGGGCTGCTGCTGTGGGTCACGCACCCTTAACCGCTTGTGCCACTGGGCCAGCCCCATTGTATTCGTGTTTTGACCATAGTAGGATAATTTTAAATCTAAATACTTCTCTCAGAAATAATTTGAGTCTTTCAGGCTTTCCTCAGTTAGGAGCTTTTTTTGCCTCTCTGTTGTTCTTAGCACACCCAGTCAGGCCCTGCCTTAGAGATCTGAAGCTTCTGTAGCTAGGTAGTCAATCAGAATGTCAATTAATTTTAGTCGTAGTCTATATTAGATGAATAAAATGTTTGGAGGGCCCCAGATAGTCTGAGGGCAGGAACGTTTGGACTGAGACCTAAGGTTGTTCTCTCAATATAATGTGTTTTCCAAATATAGATATAGATAGGAGGGAATACCTGCCTAGCTGAGGCTGGTTTGGATAGTCCTACCTTTGCTACTGTGTATCTTCATGCCCTTCCAATCTTTGCCGGGCTTAACTGCCATGTAAAGCATGGAGATGGGGAAACTGGATTGCCCCAGTTTAGTCTGAACTACTAGAAGGGCGTTTGCTTTTGAGTGCTCCTTCTGGCTCTTCCCTCTTGACTTATTGCTGTGATCAGATTTAATAGTAGAAACTTTCCTCTCATTCTCTTGTTTCTCAGACGACCTCATCAGCCTTGAAAGGTGCCATCCAGTTAGGCATTACTCACACTGTGGGGAGTCTGAGTACCAAACCAGAGCGTGATGTCCTCATGCAAGACTTCTACGTGGTGGAGAGCATCTTCTTCCCCAGGTACAGAGGTTAATGTTCAGGAGAACATCCTGGGAAATACAGCTTTTTCATATCAACCAGTTTTAGGGGTTAGGTCTAATTTAGGCATTAGACCAATCCTTAACCTGGTCGTAATCAAGGTGATGTGGGACTGGGGAATTTGGAGAGCAGATGCTGTCCTTTGGATGCTTCCATGAGCCTCTGGCCTGTGGAGTGAGCCCTAAACAATTCAATGCATTGCGTAGGAGGCAGTGTGATTCTCTGTGCCTGTGTCTTAATCCCCATATTGTGCTTTTGCTCCACTAAGTAACTGACTCATCTAATCCCTCTGGTTCTCTCAGGAGGGATGTATTGACCTGCTTCTGGGTGACTCTGAATGTCTTCCCAGGGTGGACTCCCTGGGTGACAGGGACTGGTAAGTTATGGCTTCTTCTATTTAACCCCACAGTGAAGGAAGCAACCTGACCCCTGCTCATCACTACAATGACTTTCGGTTCAAGACTTATGCACCTGTTGCCTTCCGCTATTTTCGGGAGTTATTTGGTATCCGACCTGATGATTACTTGGTAAGCTTCTGGATCTCAGGAGCCTATGAGTCTAGTATCTGAGGGATACTCCCAAAGGAAGATGCTCTGTCCCCACAGTCTTGCTCTAGTTTTTCTTTAGAGTTGCATCTGTACTTGATTTCTGATTGAGCAGGCCGTGGTATCTCTGAACTTCTTGTTCTCTTCTCTCTGGGCCCCAGTACTCCCTCTGCAGTGAGCCGCTGATTGAACTCTGCAGCTCTGGGGCTAGTGGTTCCCTCTTCTATGTGTCCAGCGACGACGAATTCATCATTAAAACGGTCCAACATAAAGAGGCGGAGTTTCTCCAGAAGCTGCTTCCAGGATACTACATGGTGAGGGGAAGAGGAGCGCTGGTTGTGTGTGCTGCCTACTCCACTCCTAGACAAGGCTGGGGAGGCTGTCTTCAGTGGGGCACAACAATGCCAGTGCTTCTGTCTTAAGAACATAGTTTGGGCCAGCCAGTGGCGCAAGAAGTTAAGTGCTTGCACTCCACTGCGGCGGCCTGGGGTTCGCCGGTTCGGATCCCGGGCGAGCACTGATGCAATGCTTGGCAGGCCATGCTGTGGTGGTGTCCCATGTAAAGTAGAGGAAGATGGGCACAGATGTTAGCCCAGGGCCAGTCTTCCTCAGCCAAAAAAAGAGGAGGATTGGCAGATGTTAGCACAGGGCTGATCTTCTCGCCAAAAAAAAAGAACATAGTTTGTTTTTGTGTGTTTTGCCCCATCTCTTTTGCCTCTTTATGGCTAAAAGGGGTTTTGTTTATCTGTCCTATCTTAAGTGTTATTTGGCTTAGGCTATCCTACCCAAAGGCAGAATTAAATGATGATTTTGTTTTCCATTCTTAGTCCATCTCCTAGATTGGGGAATGAGGTTGTTTAAACAACTTCCCTTGATAGTACTCTATTCAATCATACTCGGACTGATTGCTCTTGGAGGTTCTGGAGAAGTTAGAGAACTCTCCTTTGCTTCCCATCATACCTGCAAGAATGTTGTATACTGAGGGCTAAAGGTTAAGACTTTTTCAATGCTATCTTCTCTTAACCTCTCTGAAAGACTATATCCATCATATGTTCAGTATCATGACTAATTACTATATTGGAGGGTCTGTGACTCTGCTTGGTGGTGATCCCATCATTGAGATAGATGCATTGAGAAATTTTAAACACATGTGATGTGGGCTTATAGGCAGACAGATGGTACCTGAATCCCATGTAGCAGACATGAGTGGCAACTTTTGCCCTTGAGTTTCACTGAAAAATCAACCAGTTTGCTATTCTACTTCTTTTTACTTTTGTACCCTCAGAACCTCAACCAGAATCCTCGGACTTTGCTCCCTAAATTCTATGGACTGTACTGTGTACAGGCAGGTGGTAAGAACATTCGAATTGTGGTGATGAACAATCTCTTACCACGGTCGGTCAAGATGCATCTCAAATATGACCTCAAGGGCTCAACCTACAAACGGCGGGCTTCCCAAAAAGAGCGAGAGAAGCCTCTCCCCACCTTTAAAGACCTGGACTTCTTACAAGACATCCCTGATGGCCTCTTTTTGGATGCCGACATGTACAATGCTCTGTGTAAGACCCTGCAGCGCGACTGTTTGGTGAGTTTCTGAGACACCAAAAATCTCAATCACTAAAACAGCTTGGTTGTTCATAGGCATCAAATCTATGAGAGATGGGACTCTGTTCCTTAGCTCCATATGTCCCAGACTTCATTTCAAATAACCCTTACATTAGATCATTGCTATATCCTTACATTTTTACTTTCTCCCTGTTTATCCTCCCCAGCCTGGCTTCATTTCCTTCTCTACCTATCCTGGGCCTCATAATCATACATTCTCCGTATTTTCATACCAGCAGTATCATTCCTCAGATCTTGGTCCTGCCTGCCAAATCCAAATTTATGTCTTGGAAGCTGAGTGTTGCTGAGGAAATGCTGGATGCACACCAGCATCTCTGCAGACTTATGATATCCACCGCCATTTCGGCCCTCAGTATTGCTCATCAGTCCATTTCCTGTTCCTCTCAGCAGAGATTTCAGATGGTTGGCACTCTCCTCAAATCATTTTCTCATTCCCATCCCCCAGCCTTGTTTCTCACCAAACTACCTCAACTTTCTATTCTGTTCCATCCCTTTGTCCTGCCCCCATCACCAATTTATAAATACCTACACTTAACCATCCTTAATCTGCTTTTTTTCCAACTTGGTGGCTTATTCCAGGTCAGTCCCCTTTGTGCTCTACATTTATTTCCTCCTATTTCTTGAGGATCCTACTTCATAGCTTGCTTCCTTTCCCTCCTCTGGCTTCAGTCTCTACTGATTGTTTTCTCTCGACATACAAACAGGCTTACCTCTTCTATTTTAAGGTTAGGAGAATTTTTTTCAACATATCCTTCTAATGATGCTTCCTTCTCTCCTTTTCCTTTCTCTTCTCCTATTCCTGCCTCAACCCACTGTCTCCTGGCTTTTGCTCCCACCATTAAATTGAACTGCTCTCCCCAGTGACAACCTAGATGCTAAATAGAGTACTTCTCAGTCTTGCCTTGAATTTTCTCAGCATTTGACAGTTGACTATTTCCAATTTCTTAACATATCTTTTGGGTTTTGTGACACCTTTCCCTACTGATTTTTCTACATTTCTGATTGTTTTTTTTGTAAGATCATCTTGTTCTACTCAATCTGTAGTGTTGTCCCTCCTTGCCCTCCTTTGCCTACTCTGCATCTGCTTCCAGGATAATGCCTATTTTAATTTGGTTGTAAGGACTAGAGACTTAGTGGAGCAGAGAGTTTTTTTCAAACTATACATAAGAATCGGTCCTGTACTCTCTTCATCCCTTACTTCACCCACCCAGCAAAACACCCTTGGTTGAGCTGCATCACCAAAGTGAGCTACTGGAACTAGTGGGGGTATTCCCTTTCCTACCCTGTTCTGGGGTGGAAAGAGGTTTGAGAACTATAGGATACAGTCTAGGCTTCTTAATATGACACCTGTCATCGTCAGGCCTGTCATTGTCTTGCCCCTACCAACTTCTGTAATCTTATCCTTTGCATTTTATGTTCTAGCAGTACCAAATTAAACCTCCCTGCACGTAACATGCTGTTTCATGCCTCTAGGCCTTGCAATAGTCTTTCCTTCCTTTATTTACTTAGACTTAATTTCTCTCTAATTTATCCTCCATAAACCTATTTATGTATTACTTCCTGACCTCCTCTATACTACTTCTCAATCATGTAAGCACTTCTGTTGTTGCACATATTAGACTGTATTGTATTTATTTTTACATTTGTTTCCCTTCCTAAATTACAGTATTCTTGAGGACAGAAACTCTCTTAAGTATCTTTATATCCCTATAAGCAGGCACAGTGCCTACAGATGGTAGGGATTCAGTAAATATTGAACTGAATTGAAGCTGGTCATGTAAGGTCTTACAACAGATCTGCTCTATCACAAAGTGTACTTTTACCAGACCCTCCTTGCGGGTCTTTACAGCACAAATATGTATTCTTTGTTCCCTTGAGAATATAATGCTCTTTTCATGAAGAGATATAAGGAAAGAACAAAGAGGGTCTTGTGGCTTAGGCAGTGGCCTCATTTGTATTTCCTTAAAGAAAGCTGAGGGGAATATAAATGAAGAGCGACCAGAGACAGTTAATGTATTCTTCTTCAAGGAGTAGGAGGAGCAAAGGATAATCCTGTGGTTAGCCCTGGCGGATAATTGGATCAGGAAAGCTGTGAGATCCTGAAAAAACTCCTCATGCCTCCCAGACTCACATCATGTTTTTTCCTTCTGTTAGGTGCTGCAGAGCTTCAAGATAATGGACTATAGCCTCTTGATGTCAATCCATAACATAGATCATGCACAACGAGAGCCCTTAGGCAATGAAGCACAACACTCAGTTGACACTCGCAGACCAGCCCCCCAAAAGGCTCTCTATTCCACAGCCATGGAATCTATCCAGGGCGAGGCTCGGCGAGGTGGCACCATGGAGACCGATGACTAGTGAGTAAGCTCAGGGGCACCAGGAAGGAGAGCATAGTCTCACAACATTTTTTCCCGAGGGAGGGACCCAGCTGCTAGGAAGGAGTAGCCTTGATTCAGCAGTTAGGTCAACGTCATTAATGCTTACAGAATTGTAGAATGAGCTTGCTTAATATAAAAGGAAAGGTGTCTTAAATTTGGGGTTTGTAGTACATCTGGAAGGAGAGAGATTCAAAATTAAAAGACTTTTTAAGTATACTCAGAGTCTTAGACATATGTCTGCAAATCATGTTAGAACTTCATCAGAAACAATTTATTATAGACTTCTTTATGGAAGGCATCTTATCATCATGGATCTATCAAGGAAGTATAGTTACTAAAGTACCATAAATGTTTTTTAGGTGGTTTCATTTTTAAGGTAGCCTTCAAGATGATTCTCAAGAAGAATGTCTTAGTGGGCATAAATTAAAACATGAAAGTACTCAGGAAGTTTAGAGTTAATTGAGGGAGCATTCCCAAAATTGCTGAGTAGGGGTGATTTTAGATTATCTTTGGTGGAGTTGGGGTGGGAAAGGCAGGCAAATGAGATTTGGAGAGAAAGAAGTTATAATACATATTCAGAGTAGTTCTTGGGGTTGGAGGAAGGCTCTCACTCTTCCCCAGTTTATGGAAGATGAGACAGTTATGTTTAGGTCTCAGTTCCATACCCTGATTTTGACTCAAGTTTGGGAGAAGCCTTTACCTGCTAGCCAAAAGATCTTCTTACTCTTTTCTTCTTGTCGTCCCCAGTATGGGTGGCATCCCTGCCCGGAATAGTAAAGGGGAAAGGCTGCTGCTTTATATTGGGATCATTGACATTCTGCAGTCTTACAGGTGAGGAGCATATGGATGGATCCCAACTTATGGGGCAGAGTGGATGCAGAATGACCAGTTACGTTTCTCTTTTAGATGGGTTTGTCACCGAATTCTTCCTGAAGAAAAAATGAGTTGCAATCTGACTGCTTAATCTCATTAGCTTTCAAATGGTGGTTTATTTCCTTGATTTTGCCTGTCTCCTAGCTTCCTTACCCCATCACCTCCCCAAACATGACATATGCCTCTGTGGAAAGCTGAGTCAGTCCTCAGAAGCACCAGGGTAAAATATGGCATCTGTCTGGCTCTTTGTGAAAAACTTATGAGATGAGTCATACTCCACATTGGGATAGAGCTGGAAACATGTTCCTCTTTTTCATGGAGGAAAAACAAATGGGTCACTGTGTTCTGTGAAAAGTATTACCCTGTGGAACTAAGAGTCAGTGAAGTGTTGGTGAGGGAGGAGCTGGAAATGTTTTTTGCTCCTGTAAGGTTTCAGGTACTAATGAGGACTGGACAGTATTTGATTCACTGACTTAGAGTATTAGCATTTAATTTTAACTCCCCTCTTCCAGGCTTGCCCATCTATCCCTTTAGCTCTCCTTTTACAATAAATATTCCTGTTTCTGACTTGCCAGGGACATATTAGCTACTCTTTTCCCATGGGAGGATAATTGACTTACCTAGAAACAGCTTTCCTCTCCATGCCGAATAGCACTACCATGTCTGTTTGTTGGAAAGCCAGCATAGTAGTGGGAGTGCTTGCCCAGCTTCTGTCTTTTTAAGTTGTTCTATTACCATTGCCCGTTTAATTCCCTAAAATAGAAAACTGTAAGGTCATTCATTTAAAAACTGAATGCATGATATACGTTTTTCTTGGCAGGTTTGTTAAGAAGTTGGAGCACTCTTGGAAAGCTCTGGTACATGATGGGGTGAGTAGCAGTCAGCTAGAGGCTCTCATTCTGCTTCTCTCACATCTGATTTGCCTCCTCAGTTTCGTCTTTATTTCTTATCTTATTTCATTTGTGGGTTCTACCCTTCTACTAGGGTCTCAGCCTAGGGGAAAATGACCCTTGGACTAGAAGGTCCACTTGCTGGGCCTCCTCCTCTCTAACTCTGCAGCCATCTCTTCTACTCTGCAGGACACTGTATCAGTCCATCGCCCAGGCTTCTATGCTGAACGGTTCCAGCGCTTCATGTGCAACACAGTGTTCAAGAAGATCCCCTGTAAGTGGCTTCTACCAGATGACCCCCCAATGGCTCCTTTAATCCAAGAAATGGGGGGCAGGACATCTCTGTCAGGGAACTGCCAAAGCCAGAGGCCTCTCCTGCTCTACTCACATCCTGTGAGAGCTGCTGCCTATCCTTTTGTCAGTCACTCTGTCTGTCCCAGTCGTTTCCAAGTTGCTGCTTTCCCCCTGGCTCTCCCTGCCTGTGTCATTGAGGTGACAGGTATTTCTGGGAAATTGGTGGGATTGCAAAAAAATGTGTAGTTGTGGGTGTAGGATCCATGCCACAGGCTGAGTTAAGCAGAGGCAGACTTTTATGGACAGAGATAGGCAAGGTTATTACCAGTGTTCTGTTTTCCATCCATATCCCCAATGCCAAGGAGTTCTTAGACTAGGATCAAATGGTTGGAGAAGCATTTACTGATTTCTGCTTAGCAGGTGTTCTTAATCTCTTCCCTCAACTTTCTTGGTTGGGAAGTGCCAATGTTCTTTCCAAACCTTCCATGCTGCTGCTAATGGCAAATTTCCGCTCCTGTTTCCCTCATCTCCTCATCATAGGCATCAGTTGTCCCTCAGTGAGACGGAGAAGACTTAGGCATGCCAGACAGTCTTAAGAAACATGGGAAAATCCTTTCAAAGTCTTTTCAGAGTGATATGTAAACGAGTGTAAAGTATCATCATAATGTTGTTTGCGTAAGTGCTATGAGGATGTAGAGTGAAGGGGTCATCTGTCAGGTTTAACTGAAGGAGACTATTAAAGAACAAGGGAATTATGGAATAGAGGTGGAAGCAAAGCCATCAAGGTTAGTAGGAGGGGAGAGATATGTATGTGTCTCCTTTCCTCTAGGTTTTCTGCTTCTTTCCAAAGTGAAGTGAACTGAGACGCCCCCTCCTCTGAAGAGTAGTTCACAAAGCTCATCTCTGTTGACATTAACCCTTCTTCCTGCTTTGCAGAACAACTTTGGGTTTGTGTTGGGGATGCTAGCAATTTGTGTCTATGTCATGGTGACGGTTTCTGAGTTGGGTGCTAAGTAGGCTTTCTCTTTCCCTTTTGAAGTGAAGCCTTCTCCTTCCAAAAAGTTTCGGTCTGGCTCATCTTTTTCTCGGCGATCAGGCCCCAGCGGCAACTCCTGCATTACTTACCAGCCATCGGTCTCTGGGGAACACAAGGCACAAGTGACAACAAAGGCGGAAGTGGAGCCAGGTCAGCGCCAGGGCTTGGGTCCCCATGTGATTGCACACTCCCTCCCTTCCTTCTGAGCCCTATTTTATCTGCCTAGGACCTCTACTCCCCATTCCTGTCCAGGAAAAGCCAAGTAGCTATGTATTTTTCCCTATATTTGCCCCACCCCATTTTCTCTTCTTTTTTATTTATTGATTTTCTTCCCCTTTCTTTTTTCCAGGCGTCCACTTCGGTCGTCCTGATGTTTTACCTCAGACTCCACCTTTGGAGAAAATCAGTGAGGTCTCGACTATTCCTGACCCCTCTCTCTCACCTGTAGTTGGAGAGACTTTGCAAATGCTAACTACAAGGTTGGTTCCTTGGCCCCTTTCTCCATATAATCTTGTCATCTCTCTCTCTTCAGGTCCTTGGGAACCTCCATAATTCTGTTTTTTCCTGAGATCATTGTTTGTCTTTTGCTCTTCACTAGATTTTTGCAGGTTCACCTTCCTAAGTTCATCTTTAGTGATTTGGAAAAGTGTGTCAACATCTCTGCATCTTTAGGGGGTGGGAGGAATCCTTTATGTGCAGACTTTTCTGATACTCAGTCAGAATACCCCAACTAACCCTTCATCTCCTGGTATGTTAGGTTAGAACTCTCAGCTTAGGATTTAAGGCTGAAAAGATTCCTGGGCAGTGAAGACAATGAACAATCTTTCAAAAGGATCCAGTGTAAAGATTGTGATTTAATTTTGTTAGCTGATGTGTTAATTATCTATTCCATCATAATAAATTACCCCAAAACTTAGTGTGTTAAAATAACAAACATATATCACAGTTTCTGTGAGTCAGGAATCCGGGTGTAGCTTAGCTGGGTCTTCTGGCGCAGAGTCTTTCATGAGTTGGTAGTCAAGCTGTTGGCCAGGACTAGGGTCTTGTCTGGAGGCTCAGCTGAGAGGCTTCACTTCTAACCTCATTTATGAGGTTATTGGCAAGATCCAGTTCATTGTGGGTTGCTGGACTGAGGGCCTTTTCCTTGCTGGCTGGGGGCTTCCCTCAGTTCTTTGCCATGTGGCCCTCTCCATAGAACAACTCAGAACATGGCAGCTGGCTTCCCTCAGAGTAACCAGGTGAGAGTGCATGCTCCTAAGCAGAAGCCACACTTTGGGTTACTTTTTGTAGCCTAATCTCAGAATTGACATCCTGTCACCTGTACTGCATTCTATTCACTAAATCTAGCCTACACTTAAGAGGAAGGGATTACACAAGAGTATGAATATCAGGAAGCAGAGATCATTGGGGGCCAACTTAGAAGTTGCCTGTCACAGTCTGCCTTCTGGCCCACAATGATTCATATCCTTCCATGTGCAAAATACATTCATTCCCTCCCATGGTCTCTAAAAGTCGCATCCCATTACAGCATCGGCTCAAAGACCAGAATTTTGTCATCTAAATTAGGTCCCGGTTTGGAGGAGTTTCCCAAGTGTTGTTCCTTGAGTACAGTTCCTCTCAACCTGTGGATCTGTGAAATTAAAGAGACAAGCTGTCTTCTCCCCCACACACCCAGCATGTAGTGGTGAGACAGACATTAGATATCCACTATACACATTCCTCTACAAAAAGAGAAGATTTGAGGCACAGAGGAGTCACTGATCCATAGCTAGTCCAAAATCCAGCAAATGCTGGAGTTTCTTTGATCAGGTCTCAAAGTATGGGAATAATTCCCCACGGTTCTTGGCTCCACCCTTTGTACTCTTGGTTTTGCCTTTTGAGTCTTCCTTTTTCATGAAAACTAGAATGTGTTTGCAGCTGAGTAGTTGTCTCAGCTTGCTTCTTGCCAGTAGAATTTCGGGAGTCCAATGGTCTCTTTTTGTTTTGCACTGTTTCCCATTCAGTCCAAGCCAGTAATGTTTTTGCTGATATAATACCCTCAAAGATTTTGTGGGCTTCCTGTGAATCTCATTGGGATTCACTCCATTAGACAAAAGCCACACTCGAAAATACCTTTTTGATAAGCCTTGTGCTTCTTAGAGATCCTATTAAGTTGAGAGGATCTGAGACAGTCCCTTAATCTTGTTGAATGGCCTTTTGTATGACTGAGTAGTACCCTGAGGCACCAACTTTGATTTTTCTGAGTCTTAAAAAATGTTTTACAGTCATACCTTTGGCTTCATCTTTAGACCACATTTTCCTGGCAGTGCCTGGATTTTATCCTTGCTTAGAAAGCCACTTCTTAATTTTAGCCTTGTTTGCTATCTGGAGAGGCTCAGAATTTTCAAACCATCAAGTCCTGCCTTCTTTTTGTTTAATAGTCCTTCCCTTAATTTATTTTTCTTCTCTCGTATCTTACTGTAAGCATTAAGAAGAAACCAGGTGGCACCTTCAGCAATTCACTTAGAAATCTCCTTAGCTAGGTCACGCAGTTTATTAGGCACATACTCTGCTTTTCCATGTAACTGCATATGACATAATGCTAAACTTTGTTCCACTACATTATAAGGATCCCCTTTCTTTAAATTTCCAATAAGATTATTCTCGCTTTCCTTAAAGCCCACATTGGCAACCTCCCCTTAAATTAAGTCTAAAATTTTACAGTATATTCATGGCAGTTTTAAACTTTCACTAAAACTCTCCTTAAAGCCTACTTCCCTCTTCCAATGCCACTTCCACATTTCAGATTTTTATTGTAGCAGCACTTCACTTTCAGGTATAAAAATCTATATTATCGGGGCCGGCTCCGTGGCTTAGCGGTTAAGTGCCCGCGCTCTGATGCTGGCGGCCCGGGTTCGGATCCCGGGAGCGCCCCGAGGCACCACTTCTCCGTCCAACGCGAGGCCGAGTCCCATGTACAGCAACTAGAAGGATGTGAACCTATGACATACAACTATCTACTGGGGCTTTGGGGGGAAAAAAAACTGAATAAAAAAAAAAAAAAATCTATATTATCTATTGTTGTGTAATAAATTACCCCATAACTTAGCAGCTAAAAACAACAAACATTTATTATCTCAGATTTTATGTGGCTTAAGAATCTAGGTGTGGGCCAGCCCCGTGGCTTAGCGGTTAAGTGCGTGTGCTCCGCTACTGGCAGCCTGGGTTCGGATCCTGGGCACGCACTGACGCACCGCTTCTCCGGCCACGCTGAGGCCGAGTCCCACATACAGCAACTAGAAGGATGTGCAACTATGAAATACAACTATCCACTGGGGCTTTGGGGGGAAAAAAAAAGGAGGAGGATTGGCAACAGATGTTAGCTCAGAGCCCATCTTCCTCAGCAAAAAGAGGAGGATTAGCACGGATGTTCGCTCAGGGCTGATCTTCCCCACAAAAAAAAAAAAAAAAAAAAAAATAAAGGAGTCTAGGTGTGCCTAAGCTGGGTGCCTTTGGCTCAGGGTCTCTCAGGTGGTTGCAGTCAAGCTGTCAGCCAAGGCAGTGGTCTCATCCGAAGGCTTACCCAGGGAAGGATCAGCTTCCAAGCAGGCTTATGTGGTTGTTGGCGAGATTCAGTTCCTTGCAAGGCTGTTGGACTGAGGGCTTAGTTCCTTGCTGGCTGTTGGCCATGATACTCCCTCATTTCCTTGTCACATGGTCCTCTCCATAGGGCAGCTCACAGCATGGCAGCTAGTTTCCCTCGGAGCAAACAAGTGAGAGAGCATGTGCCCAAGAGGAAGCTACACTCTTTTTGTAACCTAATCCCAGAAGAGAGATTCCATCACTTATTCTGCATTCTGTTCACTAGAAGAAAGTCACTAAAATCCAGCCCACACTCAAGAGGAGAGAATTACACAGTGGCATGAATATCAGGCAGCAGTGATCATTGGGTGTCTACCACACCTGGGGATTGAAGACAGAAGAGAGAGGTATTAGGAAATAAGTTATAGCACTCAAGAAACTAAATAGTTAATTAAAATAATGTACTTCTAAATCTAGTAGCTTCTTAGCCTCTTTCTGAATCCTAAATTGATTCTGAAGTGAAATGTGGAGAAGCAGTATGAGATTTGACTTGAGAGGAGAGTCTCTTTTCTTTTTTATCTTCTAATTCTTCTCTCCGCCTCCATTTTTTATCTCCTGTTAGTTCAACCCTCTTGGAAAAGCTTGAAGTCGCAGAGTCAGAGTTCACTCATGTGAGTGTCTGGGATGTGGGGGAGGTGAAAGCTTTGAAGGGTATAAAAAGGATCACTGATGGAGTGGAGCAAGGAGTTAATTGGCAAGGTTAAAGGGACTGGGTGCCCCCTAAATCTTGCTTTTTAAAATTTTATGTTTTTGGTACCTTGTACTTGGAAGCTGAGGCTGAGATAGAAAATTTCTTAACTCTGCCAGCCAGGTTGAAATTAACTTGAATTCCATTCCTACCTCCTTATTTCTTACTCCACATCCTTAACTTTACACTCTTTCCTTTTTCAGTGAGCAAAAAATCTCAGAAGACCTGGAACAAGATTCTGCCATCTCTGTGATTCCAAGATGTCAGCCCTTGTCCCAGCAGTGCTGAGTCGTCTTCTTCTTGGTCGTCAAAAAAGGAGTGTAATGGAGACTAGGGGAGCTCTCCATCTCCTTCCCGAAGAAGACCCTCTCCTCCTTCCCCTTCCTCATGAGTGGGCATTAGTGCCTCGGACAGTTGAGGACAGCTGCATCCTCTCCACTCCTGAGTTGGGTGGCATGAATTTTCAACTGGCCAACCTTGGCTTCTACAATTGAATTTTTTCAACCCCCCATTCTTCCTGCTGGAAGTGGGGTTGCTGGACTTGGTGATTTTCATCCCCCTCATCTACCTTTCACTAGGAGCTGGACTCTTAATTTCCTCAGGACAGACTGGCTGGCACATTATCCCCACCTCAGCTCTTTCTCTCTGGAAGAAGACCCTGTAATCTTTGTAAAGGTTTTTCGGGGAGTAAGGGTATTTAACCACCTCCCAATCTTCTTCTTTTTTTCCTTAAAAGGGGAAAAGAAAAAATAGTGCACAGACAGCATACAATTTCAAGCCAGACAGTTTCAGATGAAAACTCCAGAAGTGTTGGAGAGATGGCAATTCATAGGGTTCCCTCAGAAGAGTGCTGGTGTTTGAGAAACAGATGTGTGGTGATTGCTCTGCCAGGAGCAGCTCCTCTTTAACTCCTCCTCTCTGGATGAATTTCTTAAGGCTGAAGGAATGGAGAGAGTGGGACATGGGGTAATCTTTACCCCTTTTTTTAAAACTGGGGGGCAGTCATGGGGATAGATCAGAGCCCTTCCTAAGCAGCACCCTACTCACTGCCAGGCTATAATGATTATTACTGTTTTGCAATTTGAAATGTATTTTGGTTGTTTTTCTAAATATAAAGACTTATCAAATGAATTTAGATCCTTCTCCAAAGGAAGTTTCTTCTTTGCTCTTCCTACCTTTTCCAACAGTGTTCTGCTGTTCCTGGAGCTGAGGCGAAGAGGGGGACGCCTGTGTCTGTTTAACGGGCAGTCCATATCTGTGAGCTAGAGAATATTCTCTTAAACTCATGGGGAGCCAGCAGATTCTTGCCTCGGTGAGGTCATTGTTGTGCCACATGCCCTGCCCCCTCCCTTCATGCAGAGAACTTGGAAATGGGGGCTATGTAATCCTTTTCCTCCCCATCTCCAAGAGTGTGGTTCTCAATGTGATCCTCCTACTCCTGTCGGGGGATTAAGGGGGCCTGGCATCTCAGGCAGATTGTTGAATTCCCATACTATCCCCTCTCCTTCCCACCCTACCTTGATAGTAGGTTAGCCCATACCTTAAGTAACTGTCTATATTAGACACCCCCAGCCGGTTTCTGGCTGCCTGTCTTTGCTGCCATGTTCTTTTTTACAAGAAGGAAAAAAACAATTCTTGCTATTTTTTTTTCATAATTTACTATTTATGATGTATTTAAGTGTTTTTTTCAGGACAGAGTTCTGTAGGGGATGGGAGGGAATATTTGAGGGAGGCTGGGTCTTAGGGAAGGGAATGGGGACTCAACATTTTTATGAAGTGTCACTATTTGCCTCTACTTTGTATTGTTCAGAAATGGCAAATGCAATATAAAAGTGATAAATATCTGGTTTTAATGTATTAAACTTTGATCAGTTATTTAGACCTCTTGTATCTTCCTGGTTCTTTTTCATATACCATCTGCTCCATGCTCCTACCCCACCACCCAGGCTCAGTTTTGTTCATGTTGCCCTGAACAAATGCTGCATGCTTTCCAGTTTCCCTCACTGCATCTTCAGGCTAACTCACGCTGAGAGAAATGGCTTCATTCCCTACCTCCATCGTAACAACTTAAACTTGACAAGGAAAAGCTGTGAATGGATGTGAAGGGAACTACTGTAGGTCTGTTGCCCCCTAGGTTGCAACCCACTTTAACTGAGGGATTTGGGGATCCAAAGCTCAAAATCTTAGGTTTAGGAAGAAAGGAGGGAGAGAGTGGGAAAAGCAAGCTTGAGATTGGCCCTAGGATTCCCTCCCTTTCCTTCCCCTGACCTGGCCCTGGAGTGTCACTCTTAGAAAGCATAGAAGCTGATGCCCTCAGCTCTGTGTTTCCTCTTCTGTGAGGGTTAAGCTTAGGCCTTTTACTGTGGTGGAAGACTAGACAAAAAGGGGGGCTCGTTCTAAGGTATGTGGGTGGGGGAACTTTGGAGAGAAGCAAGTTAACTAAGTATTGCTCTTTTCCACACCACTATTCCCGATCTTGCTAAGATCATTCTATAGATGTTTAAGCAGCAGCTAATGAGCAATGCACTGGGTAGTTGGAGATCTAAAGAAGTAATCAAGCTTCAAGAGTTTATAGTATCCAGGAGGAGCACACACACATAGGTGTACACAAAAACATGTCAGATGTGATACAATTAAGGATTTCAGTTCTCTGAAGAAGTGGTACAGAACATAAAGGTAGAAGAAAATTAGAGGTTACTGTGGGCTAGAAGTGTTGGGGCAGGTTTCACTTGAGCTCGAGGGTCTAGAGGTATCAGAAAAGCAATGTGGAGGGAGACCTGAGTGAGAATACTGGAATAGGTATAGGTGGAGGTAACACTGGAAACCCTGACTGCTAGGCTGAGGAATTTTTATTTTAAACAGTAGGCAGTAGGCGACAGGGAACCATAGCATGTTTTTGCCCTTAAGTAGGACGTAGAACACAACAAAATAATTTAGAGATGAGCCTGTTCACAAAGTTCTATCAAAGTAGATAGAAAAAGCAGACTGGCTAGACTATAATAATTTAGGTGTGAGGTGATGTGAGTCTAGGATGATGGTGATATCAATTGCAGAGGAAGGGAGAGAATTGAGACGGTAATAAAAAAAGAAAGCTTTATAATAGAACAAGTAATAGGAGTGAAGAGGGAATTGGGGATTCTCAAAAAAAAAAATTTTTTTTTTTGGAGGAATATTAGCCCTAAGCTAACGTCTGTTGCCAATCCTCTTTTTTTGCTGAGGAAGATTGGCCCTGGGCTAAAGTCTGTGGCCATCTTCCTCTACTTTATATGGGACGCCACCTCAGCATGGCTTGATCAGCGGTGCGCAGGTCTGCCCCAGGATCTGAACTCGTGAACCCCAAGCAGGGGGAGCAGAGTGAGCGAACTTAACTGCTACACCACCTGCCTGGCCCCTCAAAGTTTTGAATTTCAGTTTAAGCCACAGGCTCAGCCCTCCTTTAGGCTGGATCAGGAGAAAACTTCTCTAACAGGGATTGAATCCAAACATGTTTTAGGCATAAATGGTCGTTCTGCTACCCTTACCTTGTCACTCCCTCGTCAACATAGGCAACTGCTGAGTGGGTACAGTAGATACCCTCTTATGGTTAGAGGGTCCCTCTAGTGGTGAGCATTAGCTGCTACTTATTCTATAACTAGGCTGCAATCTATTTTCATATGCAAGTAGGGCCTATTAGTGTAAAACTTCTATAACTAAAGTTAGGAAAATCAAAACCGTAGGATAATAAAGCTGGAAATCCTAGTCTAATGTTTTACTCTTAAGCATGTCAATCTCAGCTATTCTGAAAGTTACTCACCAGAGTTGGAGTCTTATTCATTCTTTAAACAAAGATTTGCCAGTTAAAACAGATTTCAGATTAAAATGTTTTTTTCTTTGGTTTTTCAAGGACACAAAAAGCAGGTCAATATCATCTCCTGCAAAATAATTTCTTAAAAGTCCATTATAAAGCATCTCCTTGCTGTTTCCAATTTCTCTCCTCTCTTTTAAAAAAATTTTTATTATGGAAATTTCCAAATGAAAAGTTTAGTAGTTTAATGAACTGCCATGTATGCATTACCCAGCTTCAATAATTATCAACATAAATAAGGCCAATCTGTTTCATCTATACTTTCTACCTCACCCCTACTTTCTTGCTGTACCTCCAAAGAATTAAGTTAAAATAAATCCCAGGCATCATATCCTTTCATCCGTAAATATTTCTTTTTTTTTTTTTAAAAAAGATTTTATTTATTTATTTTTTTCCCCAAAGCCCCAGTAGATAGTTGTATGTCATAGTTGCACATCCTTCTAGTTGCTGTATGTGGGATGCCGCCTCAGCGTGGCCGGAGAAGTGGTGCGTCGGTGCGCACCCGGGATCCGAACCCAGGCCGCCAGCAGCGGAGCGCACGCACTTCACCGCTAAGCCACCGGGCCGGCCGCATCTGTAAATATTTCAACAAGTAACTCAAGAGATAAGGACTCTTCTTAAAAACATAACTATGACATTATCATGCCTTAAAAAACTAATAATTTCTTAATAACAAATACCCAGTCAGTGGTCAAAGTTAGTCAATTGTCTTACAAATGAATTTTTACAAATAGTTTTTTTGACCCCAATCTCTGTTGAACACACTCCAAGTTTTTGCCCCCACCACCCAACCAAAGTATCTTTTACTAAAGTCACTGATGACCTCTGTGTTGCTAAATATATCACTCCTCATCTTACTTGACATGTTAACAGCATCTGATAGTTTATAACTCCCTCCTTGAAACATTTTCTTCACTTAGCTTCTGGGATACTACTTTCTCAGGTTGTTCTTACTAAGATGCTGTGCTGCTGCATCTCCATCCTCTTTTGGTTCCTCTTCTCTGTAACCTTTAAATGTTGAAGCATCCCAGGGCTCAATCATAGGACTCCTTCTTTTAGTCTACATTCACTCCCTAGGTAATTTTAAAAAGCCCTCACAGTGGCCTAAAGATCCTGAACAATTTGTCCAACTCCCTTGTCACCTCATGATCTAAATACCATCTAAATATCAGCTAAAAACTCTCAAATTTCTATCTGCAGCCCAGACCTTTTTTCTGAACTGCAAACTCGTATATCCACCTGTTTATTTGACATCTCCATCTAGGTATCTTAAACCTAACATGTCCAAAAGCTGAATTTCTGGTTCCCACCCCTCCTAACTCGTCTTTAGAAATAGTGACTCCATTCTTCTAGTTGCTTAGAACCAACTCTGGTGTCTTCCTTAAGACTCCCTTCTTTTACATCCTCCATTAAATCCATTGGCAAATTCTGTCAGTTTGTGCCTTTATGATATACTCGAAATCCTACCACATGTCACCATTTTCACCTCTTGTTACTGCCCTAGAATAAGCCTCCATCATATCTGATCACTGAAGTAGTCTCCTAACTGGTCTATCTGCATCCCCCCTTTTTCCCCAGTCTGTTCTCAATGCAGCAGCCAGAGTGATCCTATTAAAACCTTGTCAGATCCGTCAAGCCTCTGTTGAAAACTTTCCAGCAGCTCCTCATCTCACTCAGGGTCCTTAAAATGATCTATGAGGCTGTACATGATCCAACCTCTCTTTACTCCCTTTGCCTCTCTGGTCTCATTTCTTCTCTCTCCCTCCACTCCAGCCTCTACTGGCCTCCTTGTTCTTAAGTACACTCTTGCCTGAGGCATTTGCACTTACTCTTTCACCCAGGTATCCTTCAGGTCTCTGTTCAAATGTAAGTCTTTCCTAATATCCTATTTACGTAAAATAGAAACCACATCCACTCGGGTTTATTTTTCTCTGCACTGCCTACCATTATTTGATAATACTGTAGTCCCCCCTTATCCCCGGTTTCACTTGGATGTGGTTCACTTGGATGTGGTTCACTGTGGTTTCAACCACAGTCCAAAAATATTAAATGGAAAATTCCAGAAATAAACAATTCATAAGTTTTAAACTGCACACCATTTTAAGTACTGTGATGAAATCTTGCGCTGTCCACCTCCCATCCCACCCAGGATGTGAATCATCCATTAGCCCAGCATATCCACGGTGTATATGCTACCAGCCCATTACTCACTTAGTACTCATTTCGGTTATCAGATTGACTGTATCCCAGTGCTTGTGTTCAAGTAACCCTTATTTTACTTAATAATGGCCCCAAAGCCAATTTTATTATTAGTTATTGTTGTTAATCTCTTACAGTACCTAATTTATAAGTTAAATTTTAGCATATGTATGTATGTATAGGAAAAAACATAGCATATATGAGGTTTGGTACTATCTGTGGTTTCAGGCAACCACTGGGGGTCTTGGAACAGATCCCTCAAGGATAAGGGGGGTCTACTGTATATATATTTACTTATTGGTTTATTGCTACCTTCCCCCATGGAATGTAAGCTCCCTAAGGGCAGGATTTTGTTTTGTTCCCTTCCAAGTGCCCAGAATAGTTCCTGGCCCACAGGTAAATGAATGAATTGTTGTTTGTTTTTGTGAGGAAGATCAGCCCTGAGGTAACTTCCCATGCCAATCCTCCTCTTTTTGCTGAGGAAGACTGGCCCTGGGCTAACATCCATGCCCATCGTCCTCTACTTTATACGGGACGCTGCCACAGCATGGCTTGATGAGCGGTGCATCGGTGCGCGCCCAGGATCTGAACCTGCAAACCCCGGGCCACTGAAACGGAGCATGTGCACTTAACCGATGCGCCAGCGGGCTGCCCCCTGAATGAATTATTTTTGTTTTTGCTTTTTTCATTATAGAGCTTTTGTTTTACTTAAATATGATCCTATCATCTTTTGTGTGCATTGTTGCAGCTCACATATCTCTTAATTGAGAAGCTTCTGACACGGTTCTAATAGGATATCTTCTCTATTTGAAGAAAGTTTTAGTTCTCCATTCTCCAG